CTTTGGGCACCATCGCGATACGGTTGAAGCCCATCTTCCATAGGTCGACCGAGCTCAGGTAACACTCGCTAGCCTTCTGCGTCACGTTCCTCACGATCCCACTCTTCTCGTCCTCAAGATCGCTCTTACTCTGTCTGAACCTCAAGCTGTGTGGCGGCAAGAACGCCTTGGCGTCTATAACTGTCGCCCCGTTCCAGCAACTGAACACCTGTAACGGCAAGTGCTTCTCCCATCGTCTCCGTTCGGCTTCGTCGTCTTGAAGTGTACCGGGTGCGGTCTTGGGGTGTTCTTTCGGTCCGTAGAACCAGTCGAACCAGTCAATGAGGTCGTTTGTGCGATAGAAGTTGCGACCGGACATGGCGCGGAGGATCCAGCGGTCGTAGATAATCTCTCCGGGGTCCCAATCCGTAGCGCAGGCTTGATGCATGCCTTGTTGCCTGTATTGAAGTAGTACTTCGAGCAAGTCGGGCGCGCAGAAGAATATGTCGTTCACGAAGAAGATCTCGTGCGGATCACCGCCTAATGCGAAAGCAGCTTGACCGGTAAATAATGGGCTGAGGGCAGCGTTGCGGGCTGCGGCTAGCACGGCGATGCGTCGGTTATCTTCTTTGTTATCGTGTCGGGAGTCACCGTAGGATACGATGTGGTGCGCTACGCCGAGCGCATCGAATAGTCGTCCCACTACGAGATGATCAATCAGTATCGTAGCACACGTGCAAAGTTAGAGTCGAGACGTATTCACAGTCCCCAAGATATTCCTGCGTCCCATCGCTGCTCCCGTCCTCGTATATCGTTATGAACACGTTCTTAACGCCGATCCACTCGAGCACCACAGGCAACTCCTGCGCGATCGTGCTCATGAGCTCGCGGTTTTGATGTTAATTCATCGCCAACACAATGCGCTTGTTGGTGTTACGTAGTGGCTGATAGCGCGAGTCGTGCCAGGGCGTCCACGAGCAAGTTGGCCGGCGGTGCATGTTTGTTTTGGCGTTTAACTCGTTTTGAATCCGTGTGGCGGCGGGTACGGATAATAATCGCGAGGCTTTTCCCTGTCCGTCCTGTACCGGTAATACCGGCATCCCAACCAACGTCTCATCCCTACTAATCCCAGAAACAGGCAGAGTCCCAGACGAATGTGCGTGCAAGCCCAAGAATAGTAAGATTACTACGGTTGCAGTCCCAATGAATAGCGCGCGCCGGCTGTTGCGTAGTCGTGACTGGCCGTGGGAGGGTGAGGACGAGAAGCGCCGATGTCGCGGGCTGCTGATGGTCGGGAGAGAGCCCATGGTGAGCGCGTTGCGCGCGGCTGCAGATGGTCGGAGCCAAGNCCATCATTCTCATGGCGTGTACTGTATAGGCACAGCAGGAAAGATTGAAGCCGGAGTTGGGAACGCGATTCGCTAAGCGCTTCAAGATGTCAGGACCATCATCGTACGACAGAAGTCCACATCTGTGTAGCCCAATGGCACTGACGCGCGCTCGTATGTGCTCATGCGAAATAATAGACATGACTTGTATCCTAGAGCGATATATATGACGTAGGTGCACGATCGCCTAGCCCTTGAAGCCACAGGGCCATATGCATCCACAGCACAACTGAATGATTATCGGCCCACATCCACCCTAATGAGTATGTACATCGCACAAAAGACATTCGATACATAGTCCTCGTAAGTCAGTCCGATGCAGCGGCCAGATAACCCTGCGAACACCGAGGTTAGCTCCAGTCGTTGTGTTTCAGAGCTGAACAAACATACCTCGCGATCACCAAGAAACTCGGTGTAGGCCAGCGCAGCTGCAACCCAGAATACGACATCCACACCCCGCGTGCTGATCTGTGCAAGATCCAACTCCAATTCGCTAGAACTTGCATTCATCGTCCATACGGGCGTCGTATCCCTATACACGACCAAAGGTTCGCCAAGTGTACCCGCGGCCAGATCAGGGGGTAGCGGTCTTCGCATGGGCGCCGCGCTATTCGGTGTGGGTGTGATTGGTGCTGAAACCGTTGTTGCCGGCGGTATGACCGGCGAGAGCGAGAACGAGTTGTTGACCGTTGGTGCATTCGTGCTGATAGCACGGGCCATGCGAGCAAATATTCCTTCCTGCTTGTGCGGGATGGCGTGCACATGTGGACTGAGCACGAAGGAGCTAGTACGGGTGCGTAATGCCGGCGACTCCAGTTCTGCCAGTTTCGCGTGCACGGATGATGGTGATGGCGGGGAGACGACCACAGCAGGCGGTGTTGGTGGTGGCGGGTATGTGTGAGAGTCGGGCGCAGATGGTGACGCTACTGGCGCAGATGGGGCGAGCGTCTTGCACATGAGGTATAGTGCTGCGGGAACGTGCAAGGGTGAAACTGATGATAGGGGCTCCAGTGCGATGCCTGGCGAGTTTGATGGGAAGTTGGGGGCGCGCAATCGGATGTACCATCCCCGCAAGGGCTTGTGAATTGTCCAGAGCAGACGTGACGTCGCATTATCCTGGCGAATGTCAATACAAACGTCTACATATCATGGACCAGAAGTACTGACCACGACATGCTCCACAATCTCATGCTCTGTCAAGAACACCTCCTACATCGATACAGAAAGCACTTCAGATCTAAGTTACTTCAACACGACGTCAGCACATACCTTGTACCAAATGACTGTGTTCGTACCCGCTGCTAGCACATTGATCCGATTGTCCGACACGACGTCCGAGCTGGGCGTGCTCAAGTTCAGGCAGAGCGCACACGCATCTTGCCATGCGTTACCTGCGTACGGTGAACCGTGCTCTGCTCGAAGGTCCCAAGGCCGGCACAGGTGTTGAAGGAAACCCAGTGCCATTATTCAAAGAGTTTCGTGGGCTCGCGACGGACATGACTACGGAGTGTAGCCGGTTCAAGACTCAAACAGCAGAATAAGAGTATGAGGGTAAGTTTGATCTCCAGATAGCCGAGGTCTGAATTCAAAGGCGAGGCGTAGAGGCAAGCCCAAGGAACAAGAATGATGAACGCAGTACTCCAAGTCGAACGGTCGCGCGGCGCGTCTAGGATCTCCATTGCCTTTTCGGGCCACTTTCTATCAAAACGCGCTTTCGCGTGTTCGGCGGCAACTCGCGAGCCTCGCGTACGCAGTTCTGAGCTTTCTTCTGGACAACCACCAGCCTACATCGTTCGTAGTCTGCGCATATCGTACCGTAGCTCAGAACAACCCCGGAATATATTTCCGAGACTATTACGCTACATCATCTCTCTTCCAATGGGGAATAACACTCCCGCGCTGGTCAGCACCCGTGCTCCTCTCGACGGTTCGGACTCTTCTTCACCCGCATGACGGTACTATGGGAGGAAGAGCAAAGGAGAACGCCCCATTCGAGTCATTTGCTGGTCATCTGCTTGGGTGGTGCCACCGCCATAAAAGTCGTGGTCATCGCTTCAGCCTCCCTTCGCTGACTATCATGCCTGAACTCACCGCCGAGTCTGATCCTGTTGCGTTCTATGGCTTCACTGCCGTTCCTCGTGATCCAGATATCCTATTCAAGGACCATCCTACCGCATCAGGACCTAATCCCAAGCAAGATCTCTTCACCGTCGCAGACTTTCCAGCGCCCGATTCGGCTGTGATACAGGCCTCGATGCTTTCGTCAAGGTGCGCGCCATACCGTTATGCTTCCATGTCTCAACGCTGACCATCGCTCGCAGAAAGAGCTCAACCCGCAAACATACTTACAACCACTCCCGACGCGTCTACGTCTACGGACTCGCCATTGCGCGCACTCACTTCCCTGAATGGCGCTTCGATCCCGGCACCTACTACCTGTCCTGCCTCCTCCACGACATCGGGACCGCCGATCGTCTCCTGAGCACGACAAAGATGAGCTTCGAGTTCAAGGGCGCGATCGTAGCGCGCGAGCTCATACGGGAGCATGAAGGAGCGGAGGACCAGGCGGACAGCGTCTGCGAGGCGATCGTACGGCACCAGGATATTTTTGTGACGGGTGGAAACATCACTATGGTCGGCCAACTCTTGTAGCTGGCGACTATACTCGATAACGTTGGCAAGTGCGTGACCTTCTTGTTCCATCATAGATCCCCAAACTTACTACGCCCGTAGACGGGCGGACTTGGTGCACAAGGACCTAATTGAGTCCACGGTGAAGGCGTTCCCGCGAAACGGCTGGAGCGGCTGTTTTGCGGGCACGATTCACAAGGAGCTCAATCTCAAGCCGTGGTGCCATACTACAACGTTTGAGAGTCCTAGTTGGCAGCCGGGCGGGTCCAGCAACTTCGCTAACGACGTCCTCGGAAACACCGCCATGCAGCCTTACGACTGAGTCGTGTGTACGACTTGGATCTTCGACGGAAGGGCACGTTAGTATCGGTACAGGTAGCCCCATGTCGGCTGTAAAGTACAACTTCAAGACTCTTCTTATGCGTAGTTCATGCTTATCTTCTTTCACGCTCTGAGTGGCGAGTTGATGCGCTGCCCGTGCCTGATCTATGACGAATCTTTAGGCTTGCAGTTGTCAGGGGGGGCGGCTACAGACGGTTGCATGCCGCAAGCTCAAGCTAAGCTTCAAGCTTCAAGCTTCAAGCTCAAAGCCGCGTAAAACGCCGTCGCCCGATCGACGCCCTGTCGTACCGCTAACTACGTCTACCCGTTATCGCTCTCGGTATGAGTAGACGCACATCAGTCGGCGATGGACTGATAGCTACTGCCGGTTCATGTCCGTCTTCTTTCCCCACCGTCTCCGAGGCTGTTGTGCGCCTCATGTTCCGGTACAATGCGTCGCTACATGCCAGTCTGATTAGAGCCTGTTCAGCGGCGACGGTCTATTCTAGCCAATATGACCTCCATCTGAGATTGCGGTACCTCCGATACGCTGCGATCGGACGAGATGTACTCGCAACTGCTCGCGCGTGCCATCATTTGCTGATTTCATGTAATGTTGACCCATCGGTAGCACACCGGTGGACTTGTCCCTGACTTCCATGCCGCGGCGCTGCATCCGCGCCCTGTGAATACATATAGAGCTCCTCATGCATCGCCGAGCCCCCTTTCGACCCCGCATTCGTGGCCCGCATGTCGAGAGTGGCCCGCTCCTCGCCCCATGCTGGAACCGGCCATGGACCGCGTAGGCGTCTTTGGCCCGCTCTCATCAACGTCTTTCTGCAAACGCTGGAGACGGGTTTCATCATTTCCCAGGTCATCACGTTCTGTGATAAGGCGGGGCGCTTCTCGCGTTGGGTATCTGGCATCGTACTCTGTGTTACGCTTGCGTCTTTGTGAGTTGACTTCCTGCCATCCATCCATTGCTTGACAGCGAGCTGATCACGGACTTCATCATTAGTCTTCAGACCTGCACGACCTTCTATTCGCTTTGGATACATGCCATTGTCTACGACGGGTACCCAATCGCGGTATGTGCTCTCCCACACCACCAGCGAAGACGTTCACTCAATGTTAGCAAAGGGCATCACGTCTTCAACACTGGTGTTGGAAGAGGCAACTCCCTTATTCGTGCGTATCCAGCGCATCTAGTAGTTCGACGTACTGACGAATCCCTAAATCATGCTTTCTAGTGCACCGGTAAACTTTGTCAGACCGCCATGGCGCATTCCTGTTTGACTTACAGATGCAACCTAGGTGCAAGCCCTATATACATGGCGATGTTATATGGTGCGTACCNGATGCAACCTAGGTGCAAGCCCTATATACATGGCGATGTTATATGGTGCGTACCACACGGGCGCTCGCTATACGCGCCTTCTGAACTAGCCACCCAGATTCTCAATCGCAAGCCCTGGATTCCCGCGCTACTCCTCGCTGCAGTTCTGGCTAGTGTTGGCCTTCACATCCACGCGACCTGCGAGCTTGTACGCATTGGTCCAGCGCCCGGCGACACGGGTACGACACCAGAACGCATCAACCGCGTCCCCACCTGTACGTGGTCTCAGTGTCGCGAGTTACTCGATGTGACGCGAGGCTGACGGTGCTTGTAGATCGAGCCGCTCTCGCTCTCAATATTGGTCAGCTTCGTGCTACGTCCTTGTCTTCCTTGAATCTGACGGTGTCATAGCTCTGGACGTTGTTCTCACTGGTATCTGTGAGTGGTGATTCGCTTCCAACAGCGCAAGTTATGCGGCTCATGCCTATGCAAGTGCTTTCGTTTCTCATCAGATCACTCAAGAATGTCTTCACTCGGAGAGTTCGCAAGGTGCGTTGGTATATTTGGTGCACGTCGGTCTTGGGCTGACTGCGGATACAATAGGTGATACAGCGGTTGATCTTGCTAGCTTGGGAGTGCGCTCTGCCTCCGACGCTTTGCGCCACGGCGACTTGTATCACGTACGGCTTGTTCGCATTCAAGGTACGTTCGTCCGCTCGACGAAGGAAGATGCTTCTCAGCAAGGCTTCCAGCGCACGACACTGTTCTGGGATACACCGCTTCAGGGAATGCTGGGGAAGTTATACGTTATCTCACTCCTGGCGACCTTGTGAGTGACTTCGCAGCCTGTACTACCAGTGTCCAGGCGTTGACCAAGCTCTATACAGGAACAACGCCTCCTTTGAACAACTTGGACGCCGGAGACGAGCGGAACCTGCGTCCCCGGGACAAGAGTACCCCAACATAGACACCACGATCATACTGGACAACTTCACCACGCAAGCCTACCCCACAACAACTGATGAAGAAGCACAAGCGGATTCATCTCTACAGTCTTCACACATGGGCACCGGCTCTTCTGATACGAAGGATGATGGCCTACATCCTTGGTCTATCTGGAAGATACCTACGTAGCACAGGGTCGAGCGTATGACCTCTCATCGGACATAGGTGTGCGGGCGGGGCTTTAAAGTCGCCTTGTGACGGCTGTCACGGGATTTAAAGTCCGGCCCCGCATGTGTCACGTGGCATCTCACATTCTATCTCGCACAGTACATGTCGCGACGGCGCCCCCATAGAGAAAGACAGCAGACATGGATGGTGCTTACAAATACAAATACATAAGGTACTGTAGCGTGAACCATAACCCCATGTAAAGTACACCCTGCACCCTATGTACAACACCACATGTAGCCCGCACCGGCCGAGCATCGGTAACCTGCTGCCGCCGTGTAGGGCGCACGCTGCGCCCGCGTAAAGCGCCAGGGGTAACACGGCCAGCCGGTAACTGTCACCGGACGCATCCAGGTAAACCGCGGCCGCCGTGTTGAGTCGATCCCGCGCCCCTCGTAGAACCTGAGCCGCCCGGTAATGCGGCTGCTCGCCACCGCGTGTAGGTCGGGGCCAGCCGGTAACCGGCCGCTGCCAGGTAAACCGCCGCCGCCGTGTACAGTCGATCCCGCGCCCCTCGTATAACCTGAGCCGCCCGGTAATGCGGCTGCTCGCACCTGCGCGTAGGTCGGGGCCAGCCGGTAACCGGCCGCTGCCAGGTAAACCGCCGCCGCCGTGTACAGT